TTGATCTACAGCGTGGTACTAGACAGGGCTGTCCCCTGTCACCTCTTCTTTTTGCCCTAACAATAGAACCACTAGCTATAGCACTGCGTAACAGTGCTGAGATTAAGGGCATAATGAGAGGAGGGGCTGAGCATAAAGTGTCGCTATATGCTGACGACATGTTAGTATATATGACTGACCCTGTGACCTGTTTGCCAAAGATGTTTGATTTGTTAAACTCCTTTGGCAAGATATCAGGATATAAAATCAATGTGCAGAAAAGTGAGCTTATGAGTATTGACCCTAATTTTCAGCTCACTACAATTCAGTCCCTGCAAGTTAAATTATGCACTAACAAATTTAAATATCTAGGTATTTGGATAACCCGTAAGTTTAAAGATCTTTATGAAGCCAATTTCCCTCCACTTTTAGATTGTTTAAAAAAAGACTTAGATCACTGGAATCTTCTTCCCTTGTCGCTAGGGGGGAGAATAAATGTTATTAAAATGAATATTATGCCCAGATTTTTGTTCCTTTTCCAGTGTATCCCCATCTTCTTAACAAAATCCTTTTTCATAAATCTAGATAAACTTTTGTCCGGTTTCATTTGGAATGGTAAAAACCCGCGTATTCGTAGGGAAATATTGCAACGTCACCGATTACATGGTGGGCTTTCCCTACCCAATTTTCAATACTACTATTGGTCTGCCAACATTAAAAACATAATGCACTGGATTCATCTTTCTGGAGCTGAAAACCCAGTTCCCAAGTGGCTAGAGCTTGAGCGTGCATCCTGCTCACAAACATCTTTGCATGCACTAGCCTGCTCTAAAATACCTTTTCCAGAATCCATATCAACATACTGCAAAAATCCAGTGGTGAGGCACTCTCTCAAGATATGGATGCAGTTCAGACGCGCTTTTTCTTTAACTGAGATGTCTATGGATGCCCCTTTGGTGGGAAATAACATGTTTGCTCCCTCCATAACTGATGATGCTTTTAAAACATGGACTGAAAGGGGATTGAAAACAGTCAAAGACGTACATATAGATGGCACCTTTGCAAGTTTTGAACATTTGAGAACACACTTTGACATTCCGAATTCACATTTTTTTAGATATTTACAACTTCGTAGTTTTGTTTCCGCAAATGTTCCATCTTTTCCTTTGATAGCACCAGATTCCCTGTTAGACAAAATAATTAAGATGCCCCTTTGGCCTGGGGAGGTTGTTGGTAGGTTATATTCCATACTCAGCATGGACAATTTGAAACCATTAACAACATTAAAACATCAATGGGAGGAAGAACTGGATGTAGAGATATCAGATGAGCTATGGCAGGTCATCCTCAATAACATACACTCATCTTCTATCTGCCTACGACACATCATTATCCAGTTTAAAGTTACTCATCGTTTACATTGGTCAAAAGCAAAGTTGGCTAGAATTGCACCAGATATTGACCCAGAGTGTGATCGGTGTAATATGGAGCCAGGCACTTTATCACATATGTTCTGGAGTTGTCCCAAACTGTCTGAGTTTTGGGAGTTTATCTTTGCTTTTCTTTCTAGAGTATTGCATACTCATATTGACCCATCACCGATCATTGCCATCTTTGGAGTAGTACCACAAGAACTTGATATAGGCAAATGGGATAAAACTGTGATAGCATTTGTAACTCTCTTGGCCAGACGCATTATCTTACTGAAATGGAAGGACAAGTCTCCACCTGTATTTAAACATTGGATTAACGATGTTATGCACTATTTATCACTTGAGCAAATTCGCTATAATTTGCAGGGTAATAACATTAAATTCAGTAATATCTGGCAACCTGTTCTTACATTAATCGAACAAATGGACTCTAATGACATTGTATGATGTTTTTTTTTTTTTTTTTTTTTTTTTTTTTCCTGCTATTATACCTGTAGTGTGATGTGGGTGGGTGGGTGGGTTTTTGGTTGTTAAGTTGTTGTTTGTTGTATGTTAAAATCCAATAAAAAGACTTTGATCAAAAAAAAAAAGCAACTATTCTCAGTTGATGTAATCTGTATGAAAAGAGAGATGTCAGTCTTTTCCCTTTCACCTACTGTAATTACAGCGAATGACGTGCTAATGTGACCCTGCCCACTGAGAGCACGCGCTATTCAAACACTAATGTTGAGGCAAGCCATGAAAACGCCCACATCGATAAAAACATACAGTTTATTACGGATCTAACCTCGTCCTAACCTTTCGTCTTGCTTCGCTGTGAGGAGATCCTGGAAAAACGTTACCTCAGTTACCAGTTTCATTTCGAGGAGCACGGATTCAGCTGATGCAGTAAGTCATTTTTCTTAAAGGTTCTCTAAGCCAGTGTTTCCCAACCCTGTTCCTGGCGGCACACCAACACTGCGTGTTTTCTTTGTCTCCCTAATCAAACACACCTGACTCAACCCATCAGCTCATAATCAGGTGGGTTAATGAGCTGATGAGTTGAATCGGGTGTGTTTGATCCAAAAAACATTAAACTTTTCACAAAAAAGTACATCTTGTATCAATTTCACATTGAAATGCCAATAATAGCTATGACTTTGTGACTTTATAACATTTATTTCAATTATACATAAATGATGATCAGAGAACCCATTTGGACAAATTGTTGATTTTAAAATTCTATTACTTTTACTCTTATTAACATAAAATCGATCTAATCTGGCAGAAGTTATACGATCATGAGAAACCTTTACCCACGTATATTGTTTTACTGTGGAGTGTTGCTGTCTCCATACATCAACTAAATCAGATTTACTAATGACTTCTTGTAGAAATTTGGCAGAAGAAGGATGAGGTTCTTCACTATTTCTATCTAAGATAAACTTTTCTGTACAGTTCCAGTCACCCCCTAACACCAACCATACATTTTCATCACAATTTTTCTTTAAAAACTCATGCAACTTTTTAAATATTTGTATCCTCTCTGCTCCAGTATTTGGTGCATAAATGTTAATGAAAACAAAAACAAAAGCATTTACACTTGCTTCAACAGCCTTTCTATTTCATTAACAGACACATTACTTATATTAATTGTCTTTGAAAATAAAATCGCAACTCCTCCACTAACATTTGTACCGTGACTCATATACAAATCACTTCTCCACTCCATTTCCCATTCCACTTCATTTTTGACGTCACTATGCGTCTCTTGTAGAAATGTAAGATCAATATTTTTATTTTGGATGTATTCATTTAAACATGCTCTTTTCTTGCCATCTCTTCCCCCATTGATATTAATAGATCCTATTCTACGGCTCTCCATGAAAAAAGAGGACAGAAAAGGGGAAAGAGAGATCAAGATAAAAAGAGACAGATTATTCACCATTTGTGCTTCCTTCATAAATAAACTATAAAGAGTTTTCAAGAACTTTTTCTTTCCTCAGATTCGTTACCATTTTTTTCAATCGGAATCTTTTTTTCCTGCTCAACTCTTCGTAACCAACAGTCTTTTGAATCTTAATCACTGAAGCCAAAAACTTTTTCACTTCAGGAAAAAATCCCTTTACTTTTACCTTTTTCCCAAAGGTTTCGTCAAGGAAATCATTCATTTCCTTTCCAGTATAACTGATCTTCATCATAATTAGAGGAAAAATCTGACATTTCAGAAAGACAATCATCCTCAACCAAGTTTTCAGCTACATCAGTGTTCTCAGAGAGCTGAGACAGAGGTAGGCCTTTATCATCCAATCGATTCTCAACGACATTTACATCTACATCAACCGAACTTTCAAGATTAGCTTTCTTTGCGTCACTTATCCCTGCCTCTTCAAAAATCCTCTTTTTCCCTCCATCGCATTTTCTACTTTTTTCCCTAATTTGTTCCCTCCTAATTGCTTTTGGCCCACATCTTCAGTTGGTTCATCTTGTTCATGATTACTCGATTCATTCTGTTCCTTGTCGGGTTTATTATCTGTCTCTGTTTGTTCACTTTCATCTGCAGTTTCTACTTCACCCTCGAGCACCTGTTCACTTTCATTTGTTTTGCTGGTACCGTCTTCAGTGTGTGTCTTATTTGTTTATGCCCGACATTACCACACTTGAAACATTTCAAATGGTTGGTGTTCACATAGATCATGTACGATTTGTCCTCATGTTTGACCCGAAACGAGATTTCTAACGTCTGAGATTCTAAAACCATAAATACCTGCCGCCTAAAAGACAGCACATGTTTTAAAGCTTCCTTTTTACATCCGAGAGGATTTAGTGTCATTCCACTTACTATTTCCCCAAATCTCTGCAGTTCATTTTCATGCATGCATTAGGTATAAATGGTGGGCAATTTGAAATGTTCACTCTTGACGACTGTGATACCGAGGGCGAAACAATAACAAAAGCTCCACTTACCCAAACGCCGCTCACGATGAGTTTACTCACGAAACTTTGATCCTTTAGAAAAACAACCACAGCCTTATTCATCCATTCAATGTTTTCGAATCCCGTTTGTTCACCAATCACTACAAGCACTAGAATCAGGCACACACCTGACCCCATGGGGAGCGACACGGACGAAACCTCCATCTCAGCCCTCCGCCACGATGCAAAAGGAAACTTTTACCTGGCGACTATTTTCCTTCTAAATAAAACTACTACTTAACTAAAAAGAAAGGAAGAAAAAAAATTACTACAAAAAGAAACTAAAGGAAAATACAGGAAATTCCCCCAGAAACACTCCTCTCACCCGTGAGACGCTCACATTCCCCAAACTCCCAGCATGCACTGGGAGAGAGAGAGAGAGAGAGAGAGAGAGAGAGAGAGAGGCCTATTATAATACATTTTTACACAAAAATTGTTAACACACACACACACACACACTGTCCCCTTTTACTTAACATACACATAAATTGTAATAATCACACTCTCAATCACACTCACTCACTCACTCACACACACACACACACACACACACACACACACACACACACACACACACACACACTAATAGATTAAAGCTAAGATTTGCAACCCTAGTCACATAACAGATTGTGTGTGTGTGTGTGTGTGTGTGTTTCCTTTAGTAAATTAATGTGAATCATGTTTGTGTGTTATAGTGTGGATCATTGTGGAGAGTTCAGGATTACAGCAGGATTACACAAATGTAGGTCTACACACACACACACACACACACACACACACACACACACACACACACACACACACACACACACACACACACACTCATTCAGTGATTTGTTGTTGATTTGTGTCATTTAGTGAAATGTTTCTCTCTTCTTGTGTTCAGATGCCTGTGATCTCACACTGGATCCAAACACAGCACACACTCGACTCATTCTGTCTGATGAGAACAGGACAGTGACGAGTGTGAAAGAGCGTCAGCCGTATCCTGATCATCCAGAGAGATTTGATGAGTATCGTCAGGTTGTGTGTGTAGAGAGTCTGACTGGACGCTGTTACTGGGAGGTTGAATGGAGCGGAGATGCTGGTATATCAGTGACATATAAAGGAATCAGGAGGAAAGGAGAGAGTGAAGACTGTTTGTTTGGATGGAATGATAAATCCTGGAGTCTGATCTACTTTAATAACGGATTCTATGTCCGTCACAATAAGATCAGCACTGATATTCCTGTCGACTCTTCATCCTCTAAGAGAATAGGAGTGTATGTGGACGTGTCGGCCGGCACTCTGTCCTTCTACAGCGTCTCTGACACACACACACTCACACACTTACACACACTCTACACCACATTCACTGAACCCCTCTATGCTGGATTTGGGGTTTATGAGATTAACTCCTCAGTGTCTCTGTGTGACATTAAACAGCGTCCTGAGAGAAACAACAGTGACAACATATGGAAAAAATATAGATAAATTTGACTAAATGTTTATATCTGAAACTTGTAAGTAATATATATATAAAACAGTCAGACAAGACACAAAATCCTTATTAAAATTGTGTATTAAAATGATGATTTAAGATAATTTGGGAACTTATAATTACTATATATGACCATATTAAATCCAAAACAATATTCTTAGTAGATACACGTAACATCAAAGTTATATGAGTTGGGCAATCATTAGTGAAACCAAAATCTTGGTATATTGTATAAAAACCTTACAAGACAATAGACGTATGTAAAATGTCACTTATATGAGACATTAAAGTACATGGAAAAGCTCATGATGAGATGACCAAAAATAATGTATAGCATTTCTAAGATTTTATGACACTAGCACTGTCTCAGATCAGATTGTCTCAGATTGTTTTTAGATCACACTGTCTTCAATCTCCATTAGTGATTTTTTCCAAAGATGATTACATGGGTTATATTTGTTGTTATTTAAGATTTTATGAGTAATTCTATCCAATGAAATAGTCAAAAATGATTGTTTATTTACAGTTAGATTTTCAAGTTCTTGTGTATGCAGCAAATATTCAAAATTGGCATGTAAAAATAAAAAACACCCAGTTACTCTTTTCTTGCCATAGAAAGATTTAATTTTGCACTTAATTAGTATATGAGATGTATATTTACAGACAGACTGCGACGACCGCACTGCTGCGCTGTGAAACCCACTATTTTCAATGGCTTGAGCCGCGCAACAGCGGTTTGTTGTTGCGTCCAGCAAAGTGCAAGCACAGCAGAGCCACTGCTCAGTGACCTCACGCACACGCCGCAGTCAAAGTTAAAAATGGTTGAACTTTTGCGTTGAACTCGGCGGTTTTGTGCTGAGCCCCGAAGCCAGAGCAAATCGCTTCCTATCAGAAAGGGCCATTAGAGAAGGTCATCCATGCTTTTATTTCCTCAAGACTCGATTACTGCAACGCTCTGTACTCTAGTATCAGTAAGGGAAATATTCATAGATTACAGCTCAGTCAAAATGCTGCAGCCAGACTTTTAACTGGCACTAAGAGGATTGACCACATCACACCATGTTACCTGTGAGTATTAGAATTAATTTTAAGATTTTACTTCTCGTTTTTTAAAGCCCTGA